GTTTGGTTTCAGTGTTACCAAAAAGATCTTACTTCTTACAGTATTCCCCTAATATTCTTGTAAGGACCAAATTATAATATTTCCCCAATATTCTGGTAAGAACAAAATCTCACAATTGGAAATTTTTTTCTTTCTTTCTTTTAAAACACAGCTCATTAGCTTTTATCATTTTTTAAACTGCTCGATAAGGGAGTTTATCAGAAACTGTTCTGGGATCCAGTTTTGATGAGGGAAGGGAGCACTGTGAAGATACTGCAGGAGGGCCACATGTCTTATAGGAATATATGGATTGAGTTAAGCTTATTTACTTCACTTTCAAGGGTAGACTTCTTCTGGGAAATAAAATCTTTCAAATGCAAGTGGACCCTTCTGGAGTCTGGAATAACTGAGTCATCATCACTTCTCCTTATTTGCTATTAATCATTTTCCTTCACTGCCTATTTTACCAGTGATGTCAACATCCTACTTAGTTAATCCTGCTGGAAACCTGGGAAATATACTTCTTGTTCCTTAACACTCACTGTGTATTAATAACTACACCAGCCATGGAAGAGGCTGGATTAGAACCTATGCTTTCTACCACTGTACCTATGACATCTAACATTAAAACTCTTTGTTTATCTTTAGTCTCCTCCGTTAGACTGTGAGTTCTTTTAGGGAAGGGACACAATTCATTAAGTGACTCCAATTTTAAAAAATACCACACCAACCTGAGGCTCAAACTGAGGTGCTTGTTTTTCTTTAGCTATCTTTTCCTTCTCAGAAGACTTTTCTTTGCCTTTCCTTGTTGTCTTGGAAGTTCCTGAAGATTTTTGCCCCTCACTAATTGTATGGGATTCTGGGCTTCCCAAGGTAACTAATTCCTCGTGTTTCTCAATATGAGCTAGAGAGACATAAAAATGGAAACCAGTGAATCATGATACAACAATAAAACTATTTCACATAAAGATAACGGAAGCAAGTCGGGGAAAAATGGTTAATCTAAGAGTTTTGTGTTTTTAAGCAAACATCTCCTATAAAGGTCTGTTTGACTTCTTTTTATAACATTGAGATATAATTCATATACCATAAATGCACCATTGAAGTGGATAAATCAGTGGGTTTTGGTATATTCATAAGGTTATGCAGTCATCACCACCAGCTATTAATAATTTGTTTCCTATCTGGATGTCTTTTATTTCATTTATTGCATAATTGCCCTGGCTAGTACTGCCTATACAATATCGAACTCATTTATCTTTGCTCTAATCATTGTTATTCCCTTCCTTGTGCTTGCTTTGAGCATAGTTTTCTTTTCTTTTTCTAGTTTTCCAGTGTCTTAAGGTGGCAGGTTAAGTTATTGGTTTGAGATTTTTTTT